AGACACCCTTTCGATGAACTCAGCCCCGTCCACTCCTCCCCTCTCCAGCTGACAGACACTCGTAGTGCAGACTCCGCCCAAATCACTATTTCCCCTCCCCTTTCCTGGAGACACGCTCTAGGCGGAGTCCGCCCCGATCAAACTTCCATCCCCTCTCTCCGCAGACACGCGCTGGTAGAACTCCGCCTCCTCGGTGATGACGTACATTCTCCGCGCCAGCGGGGGCTGCGCTCCTGTCACGGCAATGAGCGGGAAATAGAAAGCGGTGCGGGGTGTCCGTTACACGGCAACGACGTGGGGCAGGGTGCCTTAGACATGTCGGGGGACGGGAAGCGGGGCTGTAGGTCTGTGTATACCATTTACACGTGAGGTTCATGGTCTCTTGTGGATAAGCTTTCCAGTCGGTTTGCACATTTACTCAGAGTCCTATGTACGTGGTCATATACTGGGCAACCAATATGGCAGCTACTGATAAACCAGGGTGTCCATGTGTGTTGTCACTGGAGGGCCAGAGCTGCCCACCATTGCTGTAGATAGAGCTGCCCACCATTGCTGTAGATAGAGCTGCCCACCATTGCCAGATATGCGGAAGAAGAGCGGACAAGAAAGTGTGTTATTTGCAGGATCACCAGGTGACAACCATGGCTCCCTCCATAGACACAGTAAAGGAGTGAGCGTAGCCACCCAGGGACAGGAAGTGTGTTATTTGCAGGATTACCAGGTGACAGCCATGGCTCCCTCCATAGACACAGTAGAGGAGTGAGTGTAGCCACCCAGGGACAGGAAGTGTGTTATTTGCAGGATCACTAGGTGACAACCATGACTCCCTCCATAGATCCAGTGGAGGAGTGAGCGTAGCCACCCAGGGACAGGAAGTGTGTTATTTGCAGGATCACTAGGTGACAACCATGACTCCCTCCATAGATCCAGTGGAGGAGTGAGCGTAGCCACCCAGGGACAGGAAGTGTGTTATTTGCAGGATCACTAGGTGACAACCATGACTCCCTCCATAGATGCAGTAGAGGAGTGAGTGTAGCCACCCAGGGACAGGAAGTGTGTTATTTGCAGGATCACTAGGTGACAACCATGACTCCCTCCATAGATGCAGTAGAGGAGTGAGTGTAGCCACCCAGGGACAGGAAGTTTGTTATTTGCAGGATCACCAGGTGACAACCATG